GAGCCACAGGCAGAGGCCGCAGCAGTGGCGGCTTGCGCAGCCGCCAGCGCCTGGGCGGCCGCGTCCACAGCAGCAGCCGCGGCTGCCGTCGCGTTGGCTGCGTTTGTGGCACCAGTTCTGGTGGCTGCAGGCTGGGCCGGGAGTGCGGCGCTTGGTCGCCGTGCTTCGTCTGTGCGGCGCCCGGTGCTGGGGGCTGCGGACAGCACATGCCTGCTAGAGGACGGCCACGCCTTATGGCTGCGGTGGCCCTCGGTAAGGCGGCTGCTGTGACAGCAGCCGCTACTGTAGGCTTCCTTGTCCCACACTCTCGCCGCGCCCAGCGTTGGTCGGACCGCAGCCAGCGGCACCACACCTCCCGGCAGCGACACGGGTGCCCGCAACGGCCCTGCCTGTTGCGACAGCGAATGCATGCTGCGCAGGCTGGTAGCTGCTTCGGTGGCGGGACCTCCGAGGGCCCTGAGGCAGTGCGGTGCAACGATAGCATGTACCGCTGGTGACACCCCTTCGCCCAGCTGGGCTACGGCTGGCGACCTGGGGGAGCGGGGCGAACCCGTGCTGCACGTGCCACAGGTGACTGCGATGCTGCTGCTGCTGCAGCTGGTGTTGCTGCTGTTGCTGCTGCTGGCAGCCCCATGCGCCACGCTCGCGCCGCTGACACAGGTGCTTGGCGACGGTGCCTCATGGCCACTAGCGGGGGTGGCGGTCTGCGTACGCGCGCCCCCGGGAATAAATACGCCAGTGCCGCCATTGCGAAGCTGCCCTGAGGACACCATCACAGCCACGGGGTGCCACGTGCCGTTGGCCCAAGATGGCGCGCAGCCGGAGAGGCCGTTGCGCGGTGCGCCGCTGCCCTTGCTGCGCTGCTGCCCGGCAGCGGGCAACCGAGGAGCCCCCTTGCCGATGTGGCCGCTCGGACGCGGCGCCCGCATGTCGGCGACCTGGCGACGCCGTCCCCCCGTGTCCAGGCTATTCGCTCGCAGGTCCGCCATGTCACTGCTGTGTGGCAGCGACACCGGTGACATGCGCAAGCAACGCAGCGGGGTCAGAAGCGAGCATGCATGTCGATGTCCGCCGACTCGCGGCGTCTCCCCAGAAACGAAGGCCAATCACTTGCCCAAAAAAGACTTCAGGACTGTTGGTGTGCCTGTATAAATCTGGGGCAGAACTGACCACCCCAAACCAGGGCACGGGTGATTCACCGCAGCCCTGTGGTCAATGAGGCGCCTAATGCAAGACAATATTATGACACCCGCCTGCTGTTCCGCTTACCCGCTGGGCGCCTCCGGATAAACTGTGCGAGCCTCACAGTCCATCGCGGGGTATTGCGCCGAGGCCTCAGCCATGCGGGAAACGCGATGATAACACTTCGAATGAAACCCGTCTTGCTCTGAGAGTGCAGGCACCGGTATCGCTGGAGTCAGAAGGGAAAAACATGTCGATCAGCATCGTCACAATGTGCTTGATGACTTTCAAGAACCCGTTCACCTCATGATACACCAAAGACCGCTTTGCCGCAACGCGTCGGCCGCGTCCGCTGTACCGGTATCGGCTGCAGTGCTCTATTCATCTGTTGGCTGCATGGTGTCCTGCGCTTGACTCATTGGAGTTCTTGAACCAAAATTGATACAGCAGGTCTTGCAACTCATGCCGTGGAAACGCTTGAGCGTGCTTTGCTCGGTCGATCACATTCGTTCAGGCCGCTGCAAGAACGAAACGAGGGCACAGCGGCGGCAGTGGGACGCACTCCCACCGACTGGGAGCCAGTGAGCCAGATACGACGGAAGTGCGCCCGCAGATACTGCACACACTCTCGTCAGGGGATCTTCTGAGGCAATGTTGTCGACTCTTTCATTGCCGTGGATGCCCACGTGTACAGGCACTTGCAGAAGTACAACCGGCGTCTCAGGGGGCCTTCGCGCAATTGCGTCTGTGATTGCTGTGAGGAATGTGAGTGCCGGTTACCATCCAGACCTTTCAGCCTGTGTACCATTTTGTGGATTTTTTCTTTGTAGGACCTAAATTTCGCCCTTTTTGGATGATGGTTACAGCACAAAACAGCTGGTTTTTCATCCCATCATAGGCCCTATCGATGATGGACCAGCAACCCCTAGAGCAGCGTGCCTCACTCTTTTGACGAGTCATGGTGATGTCACAGGGCATGTGTGTCCTGACTTTTCAGCTTCCACCCTGGTTGCATCCCTGTGGGCGTGATGCACCCACAGGGATGCAACAACAGTCGTGATGTATTTCACATCATGAGGCCAAGGCTCGACGAGATATATCACGACTATTTCTTGTCAGAATTGCACTGGCTGCGCTCTGCCTGTGATCGTCTCCGCGCAGGCTTTGCCAGCTCGCAAGGAAGTAATGACTTGGTCTGCTTGCCACAAGCAAGGGCCCTGGCTTGCTTGCCAAGCCGTCCCCACGCTGACCACCACTGAGTGGGTGCGTGGAAGGTAAGCACCGGTACTTGCCCCTCATGCACAGTTCCTGGGGTCAATGGCCCGCGGCGATTGATTCAAAATGGCTTCGCTTCCCACCAGGTATTCCATTGACATGTCAAACGTTCCGATGCGACAGCAGCACGATCTGCAAAGCGCTGAGAGCGAGTTTGCTACATGTAAGATATCCATGCGATTGAAAGCATTGCTAGTTGTGTTTCATCAGGGGTGAGTCTTCCAACCAGGTGAGCTCGTCATCCCAAACGAGCTGCGACAAATTGAAAAGCAGCATATGTATTCGGAACGCGGCGGGCCCCTCCAGCGCCTCGCTGTGCTCGTCTATTGTCTCCATGGCCAGGGTTGGAATATTGAAGGGCGGCTCACGCAAATTCAATGGATAGTAATCACCTGGCACAGGTGCGTGGAGGTTGTGTGCGTGGCGTCGTACGTGTGTGTGAATGAGTGGTGGAAAGGATACAGATAGCTATGGGATACAGCTTGCATGTGTGCAAGTTGTGTGGCGCGCCGATATATATTTGCGTGCCCAACCTTGGGCACGCACCCTCAAAAAGTCGTAAAAATGGCAGGCGCATGGCCAGACAAGCAGCCAGTTGAACAATGACCTTCGAACGCGACTCCTGCCCTCAAAACACTGTCCGCTTTCACGGCCGCATCAAGGGCGCGGGGTGACATGAACACGCTACGGTTGAGCGTAGCGCACTACGCCCTCTCCTGCTCAACCTTACTCAACGGCGCCACTCGCAGGCTTTCCAATTGCGCAGGGCGTCAGCATTCACTGTCTCTGTATGTCTCTCGTTCTCTCCCTTTCTCATTCATCGGTGCGTGTACTGTTGTTTGGTACATATATACTATGTCTGCTGATTGCTGACGTTTGTGCCCATTTCCATCACGTAAACGCCTTGCTGTGATTCAGGGCGGCACGTGCTGCAGCATAACCCACTTGCCTTATGCGTGCTGCCTGTTTCTGTTCGCATTCCCCTCCCTCACGAGGCATGCCATCCATGCACGCATGCGTGCACAGGCGATGTTACGCTTCACACGTCCAGCACATGTGAGATTGTGGATGCACGAATGCAACCTAACTTGCATTTGTGTGCCGAGTGCGGTTTATCGGAAGCAAGCTGGTGTCCACATGTGGTGCGAGGGTACGATCCTGCATGTTGCAATAGGAATGCCAGGTGATCAGCCCAAGCGAACGTGGTTGACAAGAAATTAGTGCGGCGGTGACACCTGTGTGCAGCTGACGCACGCTTTGCAAATTGCAGCGTTGAGGCGGGATGTCATATGATGTCGCTTTACACGGTGGGAAACTTGTCAGAAATCTAGGGCAGCAACACGCCATCGATGACGTTGACGTAGCTGGCACCGGCGACTGATGGTGAAGGGCGGGTGGTGGGGATCGGCAGGATTTAGTGCAAAGGATGAAAAGTACAGCATGGACCAGCACCTGCATTTGCTGACAACAGTCCCGATTGACTGCAGGCAAGGTGGCATCCTTCAAGCGGGCCCCCACCCACAATTCATAAGACCCACAACAAAGCGTTTAGCACATGCTCAGCCAACTGGCCCTTCATTTGGACACTCACTGATGTTGTGCTTGCGGATCACAGCCTTGCCGCCCGCCTTGCCGGTGATGGTCACGACACCGGTGGTCGTGTTCCCCTTCTTGCTGATCACCTACAGAGTTTGGGTGGCACAGCATGTAAAAGGGCCGCAACTGGTCTGTATGAGTTGATCAGCAGCAGCGGCGGCGGCTCTGCAGCATTGCTGGCAACTGTGAGAAAATGCAGCCAGCTTTTGCCCGCAATAACGGCCCAGGACCAATGGCTCAATACCGGCCCAGGACTAATGGCTCACTCTTATGCTCCCCCACTCCCACCCTCGACCCTGCCTCTAGCCCCACGACCAGCCCCGACCCTTCTTACCTTTGTGACGGTGACAGGCACGCCTGCCAGGGTCTCAAAATTCTCAGTGCCCTTGCCCTTGAATGTGGGCACAATGGTGGCAGGCTTGATGGCGTGGTAGGCCAGCACATTGTGCAGCTTGGCAGCGTTGGCAATGAGGGCCTTGCCCGCGGGCGTGGCGGCCACGGCCTCGAGCGCCTGGAGGGGACCAAGGCGTGATGAGGGCTCCAAGTGTTGTGTTTCTCTGTACATGGACGAGTAAACACCAAAACAAGTTGCACGGTGCCAGCGCTAGTGTGTGACGGGCACAGTCAGGGGCCTGTGTAGGCCGGAGCCACAGCACGCAGATCCAGTCCAAAGCCAAAGCTGCAGTTGCCCTCCACTCCCAGCAGCGCAAGCATCCAATAATGACCAAGTAGATAGGCCCTTCCCTTAGGACCCACCTTGTTGACGGGCGCAAGGAGGGTGATGTTGGTGGTGGGGTCTGCGGCGGCTGCTGCGAGCTTGGGGTCCTTGGCGATGAAGGAGGCCAGAACAGAGACGGTGGGGCTAGAGGCCAGGGCCGCAGCAAGTGTGGGGAACACCTGAGGGGGGAGTTTGAGGAACACAACAGGGGTCAGGCCAGCCAGGAGGCTGGCGCACGGTGTGGCATACAGCCTATTTTTTTCAGGTGAATCCCCCATATGGTGTGGCATACAGCCTGTTGTTTTCAGCCGAATCCCCCATCAAAGTTGACAGCGGGCGCCAAATGCATGGGGCAAAGTGGCGTGTTTTGAGGCTCACGTTGGAAGGCAGCAGCACAGCGTCGATGACATGGATGGTCACATTGCCGCCGATCAGGTCGGTGCCCACCACGGTGGCGTTGTTCTGACGCACAGGCAGGCGAGGACAGGCGGCAAGGTTGGCTGCGAAGAGCAGCAAAACCAGGGTCGGCAGGCACGCCCCAACTTTTTCCGCAGGACCATGATCACCAGCGCAAACCCAATGGAAACAATGTTGCACGACATTGCAGGCGTCTGGGATCGGATATCCACAGGGGCACGTGCACACCTGGGGACCGACCACAACCACCTTGCCGCCCGCCTTGGCTTGCAGCAGAGCGCGCCACGACGCGGCCAGCAGCTTGCGTGCCGCCTTCGTGACGACGACCTTGAGTGTGCCGTGGCCGGCGGTCTTCAGCTTTGCGCCGTCGGTGACAGACGCGGCCTTGAGACTGGACCCAAGGACAATGTGCTGGCCAATGACGCGGTCCACCAGCAGGCTTGACTCAGGGGTCAGCAGGGATGCAGGGGTGCGCTTCAGCACCTTGGCCAGAGCCAGGATGGCCTGCACGTGTGTGCGTGTGCATGCGGCGTATGAGCGTGTGCGTGTGCGTGCACGTGCTCACTTGCACACAAGCGTATGTGCGTGCGTGCGTGCACAGGTGTCAATGTGTGTGTGTGTGTGTGTGTGTGTGTGTGTGTGTGTGTGTGTGTGCGCGCCAGTGCGTGCGAGCGCGTGCGTGCATGCGTACGTGCGTGTGTATGCATGTGTGCGTGAGTGTGACTGCGTGTCTGTGTAGTGTGTGTTGGGGGGTTGCGTGAAGGGCATCACTGCACAGTGATAGGGCTACAAGGGGCTGCGGAGCAGCCACAGGGGCGATTTTCTCCCTCCTCAGGGACAGGGCACGCCTGCATCACAAGCGGCCTTTGCCCACGGATACCCTTGGGCGCACCGCATCGGTGGGGGCGAAGATGGTGGCCTTGGTCAGGGGGGACTTGAGGAAGGGCTTGAGGCCAGATGCCTCAGCCAATTTGGTGAACAGGGTCAGGTTCTTGTTTGACTCCAGGGCCTGAGAAAGGGGGGGCCGGCAAGGTTGGAGAAAGTGCAGTGTGGGGCGGATATGCTTGCTGTGTGTATGTAAGCGGAGAACGGGCCAGACACTGAGCACGATCTGTGTGCACGCGGTGCTGCCGCCTGTGTAGGCTGCCCTGGCCGGACTGCCCAGCAGGTGGAGGCATCAACAGGTTGGTTACATGCACCCCTCAGCCCTGGTCACGCCAGCTCCTCACCGCCAGAGCAGTGGGGTAGGCCTTGGCCTCAGCTGCACGGGTAGAGGGCAGAGGGGCATAGAAGTCAAGGGACCCAGATTGGAGGCGGGCGGGGAGGAGTGGGCGGCGTGCACATTGCATCTCCGTCAAGAGTCCCGAAGTGACAAAGCACGGCCGCACGGGCTGCCGCGTAGCGGGACAACCCGTCATTCTGGGGCCCCCCTTGCCAAATGCAGTGAGCCATCGGTCGACGCCTTCGTTTGTGCGGAGGCCACTGCCCGTGGTCCTGAGTGTCCAATTGCAACCCGGTGTCGGTGCTCAGACGCTCTTTTCGGCCGTGTCTGGGCCACCTACCAGCACAGATGGACGCCAACAGCAACACGGCCGCAAACGCGCGGAGAGCGGCCATTTTGTCGTTGCCCTGGTACGGTAACTCGCGCAAAGCTCACTGTCGTGTTGAAATGTGGCTATTGAGGGCTGGCGAAGCGACGCAGGGAGGCAAACCTGGAATTTATGGTGTCGTGTAGTGTTCACGCCTGCAAGGCGAGCTTCGTATCGGCACCAGGCAGGGAGTTCAGGCCAGGTGAGTGCGAGGAGTACCTGTCGAGTCACTCAGTCAGTCACCCATCCTCAAAACTGCGAGGTGTGGCGCTCAAGCAGAACCACCGCATACTTCCTTACTTGTTACCTGCGACATCCGGCAATCGTTCCGCTCGCCAGAAGGTGCGACCCTTCGTTCGTCCTGCTCCGCGCACGTCCCCGCGAGTGTGGTTGTGTTTCCTGTGTTATTGCACATGAACAGTGCCACGTCACTTGTGCGAGAGCGACTTGGCTCCAATGCTTCATCCACGCAGACCGTCGAGAGCAAGTGACTCCTTCACACCAAGGCGTTCCAACCGGCCGAAACTATGACCAAAGCACTTGTCGCCACCGTGCTCCTCGCGCTGATGGTGTCGGCCGCAGTTGCCACACCCCTGACGAAGGCTGAGGGTGAGGCACTGGCCTGGATTGCCGGGGCCGCAGCTGGCCGGTGTCTGGGCCGCGCGCCCGGTCCAACACACCTTGAGTATGGATGCTGCTGGTGCATTTTTGCGCAGCGGCCTAAGCGCAGGTGTAGCCCAGCTCTGCCTGGTCTGTGCACAAGCTGCAACTGCTGATCCTCGCAAATGTATCAACATTGCCGCCTGGCGTCGTCGGGCATCACGTGCCCAGGCCGCCGCCTGATGCAGCGCGGCGGCGGCATTGATGGCGGCATACAGACGCAAGACATCCTGTCGGAGAATGACGCCGCCGCCGGCATTCAGCAGGCCGTCAGCAGTGGCAACGCGTACCAGGCCACTGAGGACGGCTTCAGGGACGCGTACGGCGCCACCTTGTGAGCTTCCTGCGACATTGCTGGGGGCCGTGCTGCTTGGGGGTGTGGGCATTGTCATATTTTGGGGGGGGGGGGGCAGGTGCACTGCCCAGCGTGGGAGTGGAGCTCTGGTTGCGGCGCAAATGACCCCTGCTAATCCGCGCCCCCTGCGGCCACCGCGTTGCAGCCCCGACGACTCCTCGAATGCCTACTGGTACGCCACTGGCGGCTCAAAGTGACCTGGCCTAGCCCAAGTACCACTGCAGACAACCCCCCTCCCATGAAAACACTCTTGTGCGGGCTTGGTTGGCACTGCTCTTGGCGGGGGCTTGTGACCGCGCTGCCACACGCGAGTCCTACTTCCGACCAGTCCCTGAGCGTGAGCTGCGGCGTCTGCACAATGTATCTGCTACACGCGTGCAACGTATCCCGCTGCGCCTTCGTGCTGCACCGTTCAAGACCTGCATTCCAGTCAGGCACGCGTGCCTCCTGCAGGTCACCATCGCACGTCCACAATCTAGTGTAAATCGCCTTCCCTACCAGAGAGCTGCAAGGGGGATTCTGACATGCTCAGTCAAAGCGCAGTTGGTACTCAATGCCTCTTGACGCAAGGGCAACACCGGATGTACTATTCTCTTTCAGCTGGAAGCAATGGGCCGCCCATCGCATCCAATGCTTCAGCACAGTTGATAAGCAGACAAATGGCTTGGGTTGTTGGCGTCATGTACAAAACCCCTGGTATGTTTGTATTAGATATCAGCTGATTGTGGCACTGGTAATTTCCACTGCAAGCGCCTCCACTAGCAAGTGTTGACAAAGGCCCCGAGCGCATGTTGACAAATCTGCAGCGGACACCCAGGCGCATGCGGCCGTGTGCAGAAAGGTGGGCAAAGACGGATGCAAAGCATGATTGCAAGCACATAGCCGCACACAGGCAGGGCCGCCCATTGCGACTACGCAGTTTCAAGCGTGGCTGATTTGCTCGTCAGGGGGATCATGGCTGATTTGGCAGGGTGTTGCACTGAAAACTGCAACCAAGTCGTATTGCGGGTGGTTTTGCCAAGGAAGCGGGTTTCCACATCCTTGCGCATTTGCCAGCGCCCACTCTGAAGTACATAAATGCACAAAGCTTGTTAGGGTTTCACTGCACGCCGTGCAGAGCATTCCCAAATCGAGAGACTGTCGCTGCACGCTGATGCTGCGGCGTAGCGTCTCGACACTCTATGCCATTTCAGCCACGGCTGCATGCGCAACCGCCTCTGCGAGTGCACCAGCCTCCGTGTGCACGCGGTTCCAGGCATTGTCTCGCTCTCGGCGGAAAGGCTTGCCGCCTGCAGGAAGAAGTCGGGCCGAGCACGTTCTCATGCAGACATCAAATACTGCAGGGACAGTGGTCACCAACCTCCCACTTGTTGCAGCAGCCACAGCACAACATAGCGCACTTCACTGCAAAAATGCAGACGGCACGCCAGCAGATTCACCTCTACATGCTTTCGTCGATCTACCAAGGAAACATAACTGCAACGGTTGATCTGACAGCTCCCAAGTAAAAGCACCAGGGTCTGTTCAGGCAGCTCAACATGCGCGCGGTGGACAGCACGACAGCTGCCGTTTGCCACTGTTGCCACCTGAACAACTGCCTGTCAACGCCGCATCATGGGCGCGGCGTCACGCGAGCATGCTTACATCACCTCTACACGCACACGCACACGCACACGCACACGCACACGCACACGCACACGCACACGCACACGCACACGCACACGCACACGCACACGCACACGCACACACAAACTTGATCCAACATGGCGCTACTTGTGGCATGGCTTTGTAGCCGCGCCAGGCGTTTGCATAGCTTCTCCCTCTCCCCCGCTCGCTCTCTGGCCCCCTTTCGCCCGTCCTCTTGCCCTCTCCTGCTGACGGATTGCTGCGTGCCCGTGCAAATTTCAAATGGAGGGACGCACGATTGGTGACAAAACAACAGTGTGTGCGCTTGCCATCGAGGCCAAATGCATTTTGCCTTGATGGGACATGCTTGTTGATGTACGGTGAGCATGTTACACGTTTGTTGACTGGCGTAAGCAGCAACAAAGCACGTTGCTTGAGGAGCAGCAAAGTGCAGCCACAAAACAGGGTGCGACCAAGAGAGGCAGCCAAGCGAAGCGGATGCGTCCATCCACCTACAAGTGTCTGACTGTTGGAGAGATGTTGCTGTGTGAACACCTTGCTTCACAGCACAATTCCGCGCGGCAAGTCGTAAACACCGAATGCTGCACACGTGCCGTTGGTGCTGGTGCAGGTGCTGCCATTGCAGATCAGACGATGTGGTGTCTTTGCTGCAGCTGCTATGTGCCCTCCTCTAGGCTCGGCCGCTGCTCCTGCTCCTGCTCCTGCTCCTGCTCCTGGTCCTGCTGCTGCTGCTGGACATTCCCCTTGTCCTGTTTTGCAGCCGCCGCTGCCTTCATGCCTTCTGCGGTGTCCTCCCAGGCCGACACGTCCATGTCCCGCCTGTGTGTGTGTGTGTGTGTGAAGGGGGGAAGCGTGGCAAGGAGATGCACAGAAGGTGAGGTGATGGAACAAGCGGGCCTTCCAGGATTGTCTTCAAGCAAGCTGGCATCCTGGCGGTGCCAGTGAGATGCAACAGTGCGGCACCGTATCCAATCAGTCTGGAGCGGGAGTGCTCCAAAGGCTCGGGTATGCAAGCTTGATGTTCTGGTGCCGCCCCCATGCGGATCAGGTTTGAGTGTGCATGAGCAGACCCCCCTACCGCCCCAGCCGGCAATGCCGTCACAAGGTCATTTGGTTTGCCCGTCAACATATGTACGAATGGCCAAGCACACCATTGCAACTACCACAGTCAAACAAACCAACCCAGTCCCAACTCAGCGCGATAGCAATCACTCCTGTACCCAAAACCCGACTGCCCAAGCAAAGGGCAGCAGCACCAGCACAGGACACCCACCGGTAGTACTGCAGCTGCCGCTCTGTCATGAGCAGCTCCGCCGCGCCACCGCCAAACACGTCGACGCGCCGCTGCCGCCACCAGTCGAGGTTCAGGTGCAGTGCGCCGTACAGCGGCCCTGGAACGTCGTCCAGGGGGGGCGCCGGTGGGAAGGGGGAGTCCGAGGGGTCGAGCGAGGGCGCCTCCACAAACTGGCGCACGGCGCGGATGCGCTCGACGGTCTCGGGGTGCAGCAGGGTGTCCACCACCTGGTGGAGGTGAGGGGGAGGGCAGGCAGCAAGGGTGGTGCGGGTGTGAGCTGCTGCTAGCGGGGCGCTGTATGGCTGTTTAGGGTGGGCGCATGATGGATTCGACGAGATGCCCAAAGGCCAAAGGATGTGCGTCACATGGCAGTGGCACTGAAGTGCATTGCAAACGCCCCGCACTCTCAAACCCTTAAATCCCCCAGAGCGCCCGCCGTTCCAGCCCACACACTGGCCATCCCTCCAGACCCCCGCCAATTCCTGCACCGGCAGGCCCCCCTGGCCGGTGATGCACCCACCCTCTCTGCCAGCTCCTCTGCTGTGTTGCGCCCCACCAGGTCCACCACATCCAGCCGCCCCATGACAGCCTTGGACACCAGGCGCAGCGTGGCGGCGTCAAGCTTGAGGCGATCCCCCGCAGGAGCAGCCGCCGCTCCCTCCTGCCCCTCGAGCGCCTCTCTGGAGGGACCCTCCTCCTGCCCCTCCTGGTATTGCTCATCTCCTGGCGCCTGTGCCTCGCGTGCACCAGCCTGACCCTCCTCGTGCTGCTGCTGCTCCTGCTGCTGCCGTGTGAGCTCCTCCGCGCGAGCCATGACCTCTGGCATGCGGCGGCCCAGGACTTCTGACAGGATGGGCATGAAGTCGCTGTCAATATTGATGTCACAGGGGCCCAGGGGGGTGGTCTGTTGCGGAAGGCAACAGGATTGGTCAGGGTTGGGGGGCGAGGATGAGAGTGTTTTCCAAAATTCTCCCAAGGATTGCACTTCCTTGACAAGGCTTGCTGATCGATTGGCTCATTGAAGCGAGTTGGAGCGAGTTGGACAAGCATTTGTGTGTCTGCCCAGCAACCCAGCCAAAGACAATGGTGAGCCAACGTCGCGGTACCAACTGCTGGGCGCAACCCCTGCTAGTGACGTTGACAGCCCAGTGCCATCCACCTCAATGATCTCGACCAGCCGCGTCCCGCTCAGCCGTTCGTCTGGCGCCGCCACCATCTCCTTGGCCACCAGCTCGATGGCAGGGCGCCGCTCTTGCACCAGCTTGCGGGTGCGCTCCCAGGCAGCCTTGAGCAGCGTGAGGGTCAGCTTGTGGTACCTTGGAGTAAGAATGGAGTATTCAAGCGAGGTGAGATGGGTAAAATTTTATTAGTGGGCCAAAGCCATGGGCCGAAGCGCCTTTGCAAACGCGCACGCATATCCGCCTGGCCCCGCAGTGGCGTTTTGCCACAGAACCTTGCATCGCCTTCCGCAGCGACAGTGCTGCCATTCCCTCCCCCTTCACAGGGCCGCAAACCGGGCCGCCCCTGCACCCACCCGAGCTCCTCGTCCAGCCCTGGCGCCAGGGAGTCCCTCTGGTTGACCCAGTTGGCGTCCTCCCCCAGGTACACGTACGTGTGCAGCGGCGGCAGCGACCTGAACCGCGGGTGCAGCTGGCTGTTGCGCACGCAGTAGTACGCCAGCTCAAACGCGTCCGCGATGGGCGCCGCCGTCGCAAGTGACGCGGCGTCGGGGCCCCAGGTATCGGTCTCAAAGGCGCGGGGTGCGTAGAGGGGCAGCAGGAGGCCGGCCACGTGGAACCACTCTCCTAGGGGCTCGTCCCCCACCACGGCCGCGTTGACCTGTCAATGATGTGACGTTGACAACATGGAAGCTTTATGAATTATATGACGGGTTGTGCTGTTGAATGGGGTGCATTCAAGTGTCTGTGCAGCAGTGCGGCAGTCGGTGAGCACCCAGTGAGGAAGAGGTTCCACCTGCAATTGCACGCGACCTGTGTCTTGCAGCATGCCGACTGATCATCACGCAGGCAGCACCAAAGTGCATGCAAACCGGCAGATATGATGGCACCCCCCACCGCATGAACCGCAGTTGCTGGCTTGATGCAACCGCCCAGCAGGCTTGACAGAGGAGAGCACCCACCCACCTTGAAGTTCGTCTTCCAGTCCATCGCCTCAATCTCCTCTGGGTGCCAGTTGGGGTCCAGGCTCTCCTCGCTTTGGATGAACTCGACAAAGGGGCCCTGACACAGGATACATGATGTGATATGTTGCTGAGGGTTTCTAGCAATTGTGATTGGGATGAGGAAGGCCACGGTTTGTGCCTATGATGCGCGTCTGGCGTGTGCAGGCTGCACATGAGCCACTGCCGGGGGCGCCGATGGCCGCCACGCCATGGCACAGCAGGATGTGTCCAGTAGTCCGTGGCCCCACCTGGCCCTTCCTGCGGCTCCACATTGTGACGAACTTGATGGGCTCAACCCCAGGCGTCAGCGCCAGTGCCACAGCCTTGGCCGCAGTCACCTGAGCCGGCGAGGTGTTCATGGGGGGGAGTGGCTTAGCGATGCTGGGCTTGACGATTGTAGGTGTTAAACAAGATGGTTGAATAGGATGAGAATCGATCATTTGAGCGTCGTCAGCTGACTAGACTTGCATAGATGTATGCATATGCATACATATGTGTGTACATGAATCTACACGTTTTCATAATGCACCCACCAGAGCCAGCCTGTCCTTGGCCTCGGACGGCGGGATCTTGGGCGCCCCCGGCCCCCACTCCTGCGCCTCGATGACCTCCAGCACCATGGGCAGGGTGATCTTCTCGACGCCGCGGCGCACCTGGAGGGGTGAGGGTGTGGGGGTTGTGATTGTAGACAGGGGAAGCTGCAACTTGGGAGGTGAACGCAACACCGTTACAACCGCCCTGGCCGAACTCCAAAACCAATGCACCCAAAGTTTGGAGCGCCCCCTGCGCACCGTCAGGATCGCGGCCTCGTTCATGAGGTTGGCCAGGGCGGCGGCGCTCCAGCCCTGGGTCACCTCCGCCACGCGCGTCAGCATGGCGTCACCCTCCAGCGGCTTGTTCCTGGGACGAGGCAACCAGACAAAGCGCAACTTGAAACCCAAAAACTTGCCCAGGAAAAAATCGTGTGACAGGCACATTATTTGTGTAAAACGCACCGAGGGGGTTCTTCCCCTCGTTGCGCGTGTGTCACCCAATCTCGGTGGGGCCGCGCAGGCACGCACGCCACTCGTCGTGCGCGTGACCCGGCGCGCAACCCGGCATTCTCTGCGTCCACCGCTTCGGAATCCCCCCCTCAGAACCTGCTGTGTATCTTGAGGATCTCCATGCGCGCGGTGGGCCCGGGGGTGGGAATCTCGTAGACCACCTCGAAGCGCCCCGGCCTGAGCAGCGCCTGGTCCAGCTCCTGGGCCAGGTTGGTGGCCCCGATGGTCAGGACCTGAGGGGAGCGGAGCGGAAGATGAGGGGGTTGACAAAAGTTACTCGGACTTGCCACGCTCACGGCTAGATGGGAATTGTGTGGAAGGGGGTGTGATGACGTTTGCAAGAGGGGCACTTGGCGAATGCAACGTGGGTCAGGCAGTTTCAGCAGAGGGGAGATGGCCGCAGCGAGCCAAGAGGACAGGTGCTGGACTAAGACGTTTGAGCCTGCAGGGCACCCATGGCCTCTTCATGGCTTTGCTGTTTGGACCCATATCAAGAGCCACATCGCTACGCCCACCTGCTCCAGATTGCCGTGGATGCCATCCATGGCGACCAGCATGGCGAGCAGCGCGCTCTCGCGCTCCATGGAGCCGGGGTCCGCGCCGAGGGTGGAGCGGGAGCGCCCGATGGCGTCGATCTCGTCGATGAAGATGATGCAGGGGGCCTGGACGGGAGGATGGGTGTAGGCGGTGTCAGGAGCGGGGGGATGGTGAGGGGGTCGAGGTGTGAAAGGAGTGACGGTGGGTGCACTCGTGCAAAGCAAGGAAGGGCAGGACGATGTGTTGGTAGCGAAGGACGCGAGAGCTGCCCGCATGTGTTGACAAGCAGCAAGTGCAAAGGTGTGCTCAGCGCCTGGAGGATCCAGCGTTCGGCGCTGCGCCTCGCGGTGCTCAGCAGAGCCGTGGGCGCACGCACACCTTCTTGCGTGCGGAGTGGTAGAGGCTGTTGACGCGCGCCGCCGCCACCCCCGCGTACATCTCGACAAACTCCGACCCCACAGCGGACAGGAATGTCACGCCCGCCTGGTGTTGGTGGGGGTGAGGGGATGAGGGTGGTACCCGACGGTCGTAGGCGTCCAGCGCCCAACACGGAGGACATGGGGGACAGCGTGTGCGTGTGTGTGTGCGCGCGCGCACATATGTGTGTGTGTGGGTGTGTGTGTGTGTGTGTGTTGTGTGTGTGTTTGTGCGCGCGTGCGTGCGTGCGTGCGTTTGTTGAGATAGAGCAGGCATGTAGGGGAGCAGGAGGGCGTGGAACCATGTTTTGTGTTGGCCAATAACCAGTACAGTACAGGTTTTGCAAGCATTGCGCGCAGCCACAGCAGTTAGCCACGGTCGGGCAGGTTGAAACTGAGTTGCAGCAAGGGCTTGGCAGATCGGTGTCCGCACCTCGCCCGCAATGGCGCGCGCCAGGTACGTCTTGCCGGTGCCGGGCGGCCCCTGGAAGATGATGCCCTGGGGGGTCCAGGGGTGAGGCCGGTGGAGGGATGGGCGGTTGAGAGGACGCTAATGATTCAAATGCACCGCACACGGCGCAACTTCAGCATGCCCTTTAGTGGATGGCCTACAGCCCCCCCCCCCCTCCACGCTCTGTCGCGGCAAGTCTGCCCCTCACCAGCTGCTTTCAGAGCATCAAAATCACCATGACCCAGGCTCAAAACGCAGCCAGGATCTCGCGCACGGTGTCATGTGCAAAAGCATGCACATGCATGTGCGGCTCGCCCCCTTCACTCACACACGTACGACGCATGCAAGCATGCGTGCGCACACGTGCAGGTTGCTGTCCACGCTCCAGTGGACTCACCCTGGGCACCCTCGCCCCGACCCTCTTGTAGGCGTCGTCCCCCAGCAGCATCTTCACCACCTCACGCATCTCAAACACCAGGCCAGGCATGCCGGCGATGTCCTGGAAGCGGACCCCCGTGTCGCGCAGCTGGCCGGTCTTGGCGTCGCGCGTCATGAACTCGCGGGCCCTGGTGAGGGGTGGGCCAGGGGTCCGGGTGTGAGAGCACGGCGAGGCGATGTCTTGTTGCTGCAACAGCATGCGCTTGAAGTAGGGCTCGACGTGGAACTCGGGCCGGAGCCATCCCAGTGTGATGCCCGCAGGGCTTAGACTGACGCCCCGGGCGCCCCCCCCCCTTCCTGGCAGCGATGCATGTGCTACCGACGGCTTGCGCCTGCACACTGGGAAACTCACGGGGCCTTGGTGAGCCGCTCCCACATGTTCTGCTTGCGGTTCTTTTTGGCGCGCTTCTTGGCAATGAACTTCACGAATTTGGTGGAGCTGATGATGTTGATGGCTATGGAGCAGCCCCTGCGGAGTTGGTTGGTTGGTCAATTTTGGTTGTGTGTGTATGTGTGTTATGGGAGAGGAGGGGTGTGTGGTGGCAGGAGCTCTGCCAAAAAATTGAGCAGAGAGGCATGATCGACCTTGGAAGGACAATCGCACATCAACGAGGCATGTATAATCCCGGGACACCGCTATTGCCCACAACTCAGCCATCAGCATTCATAAGCTGTATTCATGCGTCCCGGTCTCTTTTCTGAGAGAAGAGATTACGGTCGCTCATACAGAAATCTCGTGTAGAATTCACTTGGCTTGAGCTAGGACACACCAACACATGAACGTCCAACACCGACCGACAGGAAAAGAATGCGCAGCTGGTGGTCTTGCACTGTACATCTTGCGCTATCACAGCGCCATGTGATTGCAATGCAGCTCCTCAAGACTCTCTGAAAGCACACACGATCATATGCACGGGCGCACGAGTCAACGGGTGCCCTTGTTCACAGTCCCAGGCACACATGCACGCTTGCTTGCATGGAGGCACCCGCCTGCACACGCACACACGCACGCACCTGACGAAAAGCGCAAAGGCCGCTGCCTGCTCAAAGAAGCGGAGCTTCCTGTCGTCCAGCAGCCACGACAGGAACGCCCAACTGGTAGTATTGATGATGGGTTTGCCAGCAAGGACGCAGAGATTGGGGTGATTTCACTTGGTGGTAGGTGGCACAGAACCCAGAATGGGGGTGTTGTAGCAGGCTGGGGGAAGTCCGTAATTTGGGTGGGCAGCCTGCAACATAATGCCGCGTTTGCTGGCCAAGGTGTGCAAGAATCCCCCCACATTGGGTCCGCCAACTAGGAACCCAGTTTCTCCCAGGTGAAGCCAGCATGCAAGCATCACAGAAGCAGATGTGCCACCCTCCCTGATACTGCTGTGGCTGCTGCTTCGCGCAGGGCCTAACCACCCCACCCCTTCCAACCGCTGTCCCAACCCTCCAACCCCTCCCTGCTCTCACTTTTCCCCCGGGTCCATGACCTGCAGCTCCGTCCTGACCTCCCCCAGCCGGGTGAACCCGCTCCAGGGCATCACGTATGCCTTGGACTCCTGGTCCCACACGACAGGGACCTTGTGT